GTGAGAAATATGGTCTGATGAGACCAAGATAGAACTTTTTGGCCTTAATTCTAAGCGGTATGTGTGGAGAAAACCAGGCAACCAGGCACACCTGTCCAATACAGTCCCAACAGTGAAGCATGGTGGTGGAATGATGTGAAAAACAAGGCCTCTGACACTTTACCAAGACTAAGCACCTCATCTACCCTATAAACACAGACATATTCTCTCTCTCGCTCTATCCTGGAGAGGGTGATAAATGCCTGTGCAAGCGAGTCAACCGGACGATCAATCAGAGGCCAGCCCTCCTTCATCTGGTCAATGGCACTCTTGTTTCTGCTGTGGGAGAATGGCACAATGACTTTACCACTTAATTATGTTGTTAATTGCTGTGTTAAGATTTCTGCAGGAGGTCCCTCAGGTTAGTAATTGAGGGTGGTCGCACCTGCAGACTCCAGGCACGCTGCATTTATTCACAATTCAATAACTTGAGTCAGGCGATAATGATCATCAGCTTTCAAATGCTACTGCCCTTACTGTTAACCCGCTCTCATAGGAAATATTGATATTCTCCACAGCAAATTGCTTGATGAGTAAAGCAATGTATTTTTAAAGATTTCATGCCCTCGAGAATATTGTTGATTAAGACCTTATTTACATCGCTTTTAAAGAATTTTTAAAACTCACTTTGAAATTGATTAATTTTAAACAAATGTTTGTGATTTAATTTTTTTTGCTTTTTGACTTATTGTCTTATGCTCTCCAAAGCTGCATTTATTTGATCAAAAATACAGTAAAAAACAATAATATTGTAAAATATTACTACAATTAAAAAAAACTGTTTTCTATTGCAATACAGAGTTCTGGCATGAAACTCTAGATGGCGCAGTCCGATAGGTCTAACTCAATCTGACCTAATGACATCATTATCACATGGCACAGCTGATTGGTTGTCTCCTGTATCGGTAGCCAATGAGCTCGCTGCTCAACATTCAAATATATGATTAGTGCTTGCAGTAGCAGTTGCAGCTTGCTTCAGAAACCCTCCACCTTCCCCAGCTCCACCTGTATAGATCTGCTACAGCAGCATCTTGTGAATGTATTGGCAGTAGCAAGTCTCGGTACTTGCTCTGCCGCAGCAGCAGCGTAGCAGATGTATTCTGCCAAGACCAAATACATGAACATGTAGATGTACAGTGCCTCATTTCGGTGCCATGCCTGAGCGATCGATTGAAATATTTGTCCTCTGGTTCTCCGAAACGGACGTAAGAAACATCATCACTGGCACCACACGTGAAAAATTATTTCCTGACTGAGAAAATGCACGTGAACTCAAATCAGAAAACTAATAATACAAATCCAACACATCTTTGTAGTAACGAGAGTGTCCATGTTGTTTTCACATTCCGACTTAAAAGCACAACTCGGGAAATGAGAGCATTCGGGGAGGCGTGAATGCAGTAGCCTATTTACACTTGCTTTGATGGCAGCAGGTAGCCTTCCGTTAACTAAGCTAAACATGCTTAAATTAAAATGCCTGAAGCTAAACCTCCCTTGTATTCACATTTCTAAACCGGTTGTCCAGCAAAAGAGAACATTATAATATTTTTACTCCACAACACCAGTCAAATGCTTCCTTTTGTGATCTGATGAGGCTTCTTGTCATTCCGACTTAAAAGCACAACTCGGGAAATGAGAGCATTCGAGGAGGCGTGAATGCAGTAGCCTAATTACACTTGCTTTGATGGCAGCAGGTAGCCTTCCGTTAACTAAGCTAAACATGCTTAAATTAAAATGCCTGAAGCTAAACCTCCCTTGTATTCACATTTCTAAACCGGTTGTCCAGCAAAAGAGAACATTATAATATTTTTACTCCACAACACCAGTCAAATGCTTCCTTTTGTGATCTGATGAGGCTTCTTGTCACAGAATGAGGCAGAAAATATGTTCCATATGCTACTTTGAAAATAATACATCAATTAGCAATAGATTATAAATTAGGGTGACCATTCATCCTCTTTTCCCTGGACATGTCCTCTTTTTGGACCTACAAAAATGCGTCCGGCCGGGATTTCTT